CTCGTCGATTCCTGACAACTGACTGGAAATGCTGGAGGTTCATTCGAACAAAGCACAAGATCTATACGTGTGCTAAGATCTTCCTCGAAAGTTTCATCAACCACGTTCTCATCCATAGTCGATAGAACAGGGACGACATTTTCAGGCTCTTCAGAATGGCTCAAGTGTAATGACTCCAAGCCGACCAACAATTCAATTTGCTCTCCACAACTTGCGGCTTCAGGAACAGGTTCAACATGCGCTTGTTCAGGCACGGATTTCATACTGGTCATGGCCACGTCAGGAATACTCGCGAATACACTTGCAAGCGCAGCAGCTTCGTCTACTTCCTCTCTGCCTAATGTTGGCGGTTCGAGGTTCAGATCCAACAACGCTGATGATTCGAACACGGATTCGGAACTCTGATCATCACGAGAAAGTAAATCAGGCTTGGTGGTTTTCTCCGGTAACGTAATATCGGGAAGAATCGGTGCAGGAAGTACGGACTGAATGCCATCCGGCTCCAACACAAGTTCCTGCGTTCCTTGCTCAATGCCGGTAGAAGAGTCGCTCATCGCAAGCGGTACAGCATGATTTTTCTTCTCAGGCTAGAAAAAACAATTACCGTGAATTGAAATTCTCTTTTGATTATTGCATAAAAATTACGCATTGCTCACCATTACGGGGAGTGACCCTGCATGATTCAAGGTATGTTCCGCGTAGTTCATCGCATGAAACGATTCCGGACATTCATATGTCTCACGGGGGACGTCATGAGAGGTGCAACACTGTCCGTGGTCCATCACCGCATTTGATCCAGGAAGGAAATTTTTACCTTCCGGTATGGCTTGGGCTGGAACAAATCCTAAAAAACGCATGAACTTATAACATAATCCGTAAAATTGAATAGGTCAGCAGGTGCGCACCATTTGTCTGGTAGGAAACGTGGTTCGAAAACTCCAACTGATTCAGATCCATTCAAATTGTTACACAACACGAATCTTAAAGAAGGGCGACGATTTGCTGTCCTTCAACGCAAGCGCATTCTCTTTTTGTTCCCAAACACACTGTATTCGACAGACAAATTCAACAATGGATCAGATTTTGCTCATTTTACTCAGGCACACACATCTCTGCTTTACTCAAGCAGCACACGGTGTAATGAGCAGTAACAGGATTCTTTCAAAGCGCGAATTTCTCCCATCCCGTCCGTTGATTCCAAACTTGCTTCAGCGAGAAACCTTCAGAACGCGCAGAAGGAACTGTACTGCATCTGCGGCATCTGACAGACAAATTCTCGTAAAATACGATTCAGTTACAGTATTGCAAAATCCGCGTGCAGAACAGCACACCAGGAATAGCTTGCATGGAGTGATGGAGACCACACGGGTAGCGCCCTCATTGAATCGTTCTTGTAACTAACTTATTCATTGTTTTGCTGGTACAGTACAGTATGTGCGAACCTTAACACAAAGAAAAATCCCATCAGGTAAGCTGGGAAAAACCGGTAGAATTACTACAGATGCATTATTCCAACTTGAAAGTACCGAAGATAACCAAACAGTACTGTTCTACCACGGCCTTCATGGGAGAAACTGTTCAGGCGCAAAAAAAAAAAAAATTCCGTTGTAGAAGCAGCGGTGCCATATTTTGTCTTATACAAGATATTAAATTCAGTTCAAAAAATTCACTCTGTATTCTTGATGATGTTTTGCATCTTCTCCTTCAGTTGTGATGTTCCAACCAGGTCTTAGATTGCCCCTCTCTGATGTTCCGATCAGTATCATAGGAAATTATTAAGGAAAAATTGGAATGCACAATATAATAATAAGTGTTATAATATTGTAACCATATACATAGAGGGAAAAATGCTTACACTGTAGTATATAATTTCAGATCTTTGTCATGTACAGTATAGTATCAACTTGGTTATATAGTTAATGATGCTAACAAATTTATTTTCGGCATTGTACAGTTTTATGTTCTTCGGGAATACAGCAGTAATCAGAATAATAATTAATAGAATGTGATACAATAGGCACGGAATCTTCCTTCTTTATACTCTTCCACGCAGATATTTCTTTTGCTAAAGCGTGCATAGGTGTCGCTTGTATTTGAAAGTTAAATGAACTCGACTAGAAGGGCATCACTGTACTTTGTTAGAGGTAAATGCGCACAAATGTATTACCGTGCGTCACCATATCATACATACAGCAGGCGCTTTTATTTTATAAGCTGGTTCTTAAAAACTTGCATGAAATCCGCGCTTGCAGCAAAGCTATAATACATCCCAGTTTTACATCAGCTGTTTCCTGTTTTGAAACATGATCAACCATCAGCATACTGCTGTTGCTATTGAAGCAGGGCAATTCATCTTAATGTGGTACTGCTGTAGTGCTGTGTGTGAGGTTATCAATGAAATAGCATACCACGCACACGTCTGTATTGACATATCCTATAGGAGCATTCAAATTAAAATAACTTATTTTAATTGAAAAAAAACTCGCATTATTTTTTTTACATCAACAATTAAGAATCATGATAATGGCTGGATTGACTATTTCTAAGTTTGTCAGGACGTAGATTTTATTTCCTAGCGTGAATAATGTACTGTAAGTACAGTATACTTGGATTCAAGAAATCATTAATATTCTGAAGTTACCCCATGGCCAAATCCTCAAATATGATGCACACCCCAATTCGTGGCCCTAAAATTTCAGAAAAAGAACTCATATTGAGATGCGCTCCCCACTTTAGAGTCCCTAAAAATAGTAATATTGCAAGAAATATCTCGTAATTTTTTTTTTACTAAAACCTAAATTGAATTCAATTCAATTGATCTTGAAAATTTCAGGTCTTATAGTATCATTATAGCCACATATCAGCTGCTTTAGCACTTTCAAAAATTTATCTGCTTTATCTGGAATTTTCTTCTGATTCTCTTGAAGTAAACTATTTTTATTCTTTACAAGCTGGGGGAGCCCAGCCACACATGGGCATCCCGCATGAAATTTTACAAAGGATTTTAAAAATGTCATTTTCATTAGAGGTGATTACATGTGGTAGTCCTTCTGGCTTTCAAGTCCCAGTAAATATTGGGCTTGGGACAATCGACTTCAATGGACTTCGTCCCACAAATTTTCATGTAATGTTGTCAATTTGAGCATTAAAATTGTCGCAAAACCCTTCGAAAAGGAGCGTTTTATGATTTCAACCTACGTACGATTTGTAATATGCTTATGGGAAAAATGAGCATACAATTTCTTCTTGAATATTTAACTTTATAAAAACATCTGTTTAGAAGTTCCGTTGACCTTCATCTCATTAGATCATTTTTTTCGGGATAAGCTACTTTAGAGCATTAATTGGCCCCATTTTAAAAATTCGTCGATAATCTTCATTGTATTCAAAATGATGGGCCAGAAAAGTTTATTTTCTTATTTCTCAGGATTCTTAAGAAACGTAGCTTTGGACTTTTTATGCAATCATCCCCACCGGAAAGGCGCAGTTTAAAGTAATGGTTTTCAAAATTACGTATACATTTCCAGGGGAAAGCTCTTCAGGAACTGACTTTCACGCAGAAAATGAAGCAACTCAAATATTTTTACGGAAACTTTCCATAAAACAAGCATCACAGAAACTAGTTATTCTTCGGTTTAAATAAATGAAATAAAAATACTTGTCGTTTTCAGAGACGTACAACTGCTTAAAAATGGTGCTCAGTTAAAACTGAAAAACTTGTTTGAAAAATTTAAAAAAAAAAAAGGTCGAGTGAACAGCAGTGCTAACTTATTTAACATGGCGTCGACTTGATCCCGAGGTCAGTTGGGTGGCGGCGAGTTGGACCGACACGTTTGCTCTTCGCAGTTTTGAAGTCCTCATGCAACACGCTATTTTCCTCAGCAAACATTTAATTTTTTTGATCCCGAGGTCAGTTGGGTGGCGGCGAGTTGAACCGACACGTTTGCTCTTCGCAGTTTTGAAGTCCTCATGCAACACGCTATTTTCCTCAGCAAACATTTAATTTTCTCTCCTTATCCGAATGAGAAAAAAAAAAACAAAGGTGAACGAAGCTTTCCAGGTCCTGCTTGCTATCGCAAGCAGGGTAATCCCCATAAACAGTGGGGATAAAAGTAGGGAGAAACGTCAGCAGGCGTCTCGCGAGCAAGCGATTGGCACACGCCCCATCTTTCAGGCCACTCCCCCTTAGACACGTCCCACGAGTGCCAGGAAATGCCTGTCGACAGCGATTGATTCCAACCCCCAAGGGAGTGGTTTTCCTCACACGTGGTGCTGCCTTGCCAACACATAACCTGGGGCCCGGCGTGAAAAACGGGACGTGACACGCCCTTCGATCCTCGCCTTAGCTTCTGCTGCTTGTTTCGAAGAATCACTGGGGGTGGCAGTTTCACATGTTGGCCTGACGTGGGCCAGGTACGTTCTTGGGCGTGTATACCGAGTGTAGGATTCAGCTTTTCGTGCAGAATTCCAGTTGGGTGAAATGGATGAAAATGACGGCAAGCGTGCGTGATTGAAAAATGAAAATGTGCGAAAAGAGTCGATTGGTTTCGGTGAAGTGCGCGTGACTGCTGTAATTGGAAGCCACTGTTCATTGATTGGATGAGTGATTATAGTGAACTGGGGCGTCGTGAGTTGTTTCAGAAAGTGAAAAGTAATTCTGCGCAGAATTTCACATTGGCGTTTAATCTATTCCAAGCCGTAGCTACAATTATTTTTCCAAGAGACATTTTCTTTTCTATATTCTCGGAAGCGATGGGGTTGCTTTTTTTTTGGTGCGATTAATTGATCTTGGTGATGATCTTGCTGGATCAATCCAAGATTACGTCTTCTCTTTGCCCATCATTTTATTTACTAGAAATTCAGCAAGGCGTGAAATTTCTGCCAAATTATCTCACATTAGTTTTGGAGCATATTTATTGACCTTACTACATAGAAACGGTTATAATTCAGATATGTCGTTATAACTGGATTGACAAGATGATCAATTAAGAAGCATTTGATGCTCGTAGCAATAGTTCGGAATGACAGAATGAAATAATAATCGGTAATCAATGCACAGAGGAAAAGCTTGATTGATCATTCGAGAGAAAGTCGGAAAATGAATGATTTCAACGCCAAAAAGCAGATATAGTATTCCTCACCAGACGTGATTTTTCGTTTTTTCTGAGACGTCTATTTCTACTGGAATGCAAGAATTTTGAAAAGAAAACACTCGGAAAAATTTGCGAATTGTAATGCATTTGGAATGGTACAGAGTCCGTACAGTTGAGGATTTATCAAGGTTCAGCCTTTCTGATGAAACAAATCAATGCTAATTTCCGGCATTCGATGAAGGAAAAATTTCTCAAGAATAATCCAGGTAACTTCGCAATAATTCAACATTCCTAACCCCTTTTCACCCCGCATTCCCACAGGTTCCCTCAGCTAAATACCAAGGGCTTGTATAGGAAGGGGTAGACGAAAAAAAAGGGGTCACCATAGGGTAAGGAAAAGAAGAAAGAAACCGGATATCCTCTCGGAAATCCCACAGCCAGATATAACGTTTCGCGATCGTAAAACAAACCGGAATGAGGAACCTGTTCCCGCTGAAAGTCGCGCAGTACGAGGAGATAATTTAGCCTCATCGTTGACAGCAAAAACCCGGCGATGTTTCCTGACTTTGAAAACAAATTTGGCAACTGTGACACAGAACCTCAACCTGCGAGTTCCGCGCGGTTAGTTTCAAAAACACGCGTTCCGAAGTCGGGCTTGAAAAAACTTCTCGCTTCAGCGACAACAACAACAACAATGAAAAGTGCTACCCCTTGGAATTCCGCAAATTTATTTAAAAGTTGTTGATTCAGCCTTTGGTACCGGGAGAGATGAAAATATTAGATTTAAAAAGTGAGACTTCGTGATGCAGGGGTTTTCAAGCGTGAGCAAGAAACCGTGCTTTACAAATGAGAGCCAGGGAAATCCGCACCATCACTCGAATATCGGCGCCAAAGTCACTACGGGTTCTTTGGCAAATCATTTTTCGTTTGTTTTCCCGAGCATTAATCGTCAAACGCCGGAAATTTAGCATCGACATGTTCGATTAGAAACATAGTATGAATCCACTGTCTTGAAAAACCACTTTCTTGTAATGAAAAACGTGTGATGATTTGTGAATTTTCCTACGTACATCCGTGTCCAGTTCTTGCATTCAGACGTGATTACGTGAATAAACTAGAATTTTTCGGAGGAGGAAAGGACCCTCTTACACATATAGAATTGCAAAGTTTTTTTCGCATCTGATGTGTGCGCTGAATATTTTCTCCGCGATTTTATTTTTGGTTGAATGTTTGGCCGTGGAAATGAGAATCCGAAAAAAAAATTAACTTCAGCTGGGATTTGCTGAGAAACGTTATACTTCCTGTTGGAAATCATGATTTTCCTTCCTTCAACAAAATCAAGGGATATCGAATTTTAGAATAAAAAAAAGCTGGGTATTAAGTGTGACTTCTTCCCGAGGAAATACAATAATGTGACTGAACTCTCAATAACTCTTTCAACAGACTTGAAAAAACCTTTTATGATAAACTCGCATGCGCGGAGGAAATATAGTCAATTGAAAGCAAGTCTGATTAATTGTTTTCCATACGTTCTTGCGATAAATATTTTATCCCGGAAATATAATCATTTCCGAGTAGAAGAATTTGTTTACTACGATTTTTAAGAAAACACACTTTCGAATTTTTCATGACGAAGGACACTAGAAAAAAAATGTCTGCGAACACAAGCGGGAACACTCGAAGAATGAGCAAATGTTTTACCTGGTGTGTTTTTTTTCCATTCCGAAGAATTTGAGTTGAATCATGCAAGGCAATGTTTGAGATGTAACAGTAATCCAGAGATCCACATTATGGCCCGCGATAAATGAGTACCCAAAATTTTTTTAGTTTTGTATATTTGCCAAAATTTTTAATATTTTTGGAAGATGCGGCATCAGACGTTTTTCCCTCGAGGATTGCTTTTTTTTTTTAATATTCAATCGCAAGATTTTCCACACGTGAAGTTGATGCAAATTAAGATCGTGAAGAGTTGAAAAAAAAAGCTGAGGAAAATTAATTCTGTTAGATACCGATTTCGAATGAATGCTAATCGTTACATTATTTCCATCAGGTTACTTCGTGAAACATGTGCGACCGGCAAAGTGAGACAAACGAACTCGAGACTTATTCCCCAGCCGTGATTTCGTGTTAATAAACGGCGTGCACAAACTCCCTTTTCGCCCGTAACATATTTTCCCAAATCCCGGAATCGAATCATGATGATCGGTCAAGACTTCCCTCGGCAATCAACAATGCTCAGCAGTTGCCGGTATCAGCAACCAGACATGAAACCCGACTTGTTTGACATCCAGCAGCACGGGGATCAACGAGCAGCACGGCTACAACACGGTCCACCGGATCCCCATCATCAAGTGGCATTTGTTTCACCCGTGCTGCCCAGTGATCATCATCATCATCATCAACAACACCAGCCTAATCATCATCAGTCATCATTCGAAAGCAAGAGCAGTAGCAATGACGAAGACGACTCCTCGTCGCCGGTGTCGTCGCCCATGTCGGCGACGAGCAGCAGCGGACATCAGCACGTGCTGGCGCCGTTGTTTGACGGCGGTGGCGGCGGCCTGAAGGCGGATCCCGAGAATGGTGGCGGCCGTGAGCCGCACGAAAGGCGGTGCTTGATTTGGGCATGCAAGGCGTGCAAGCGGAAAACGGTGACAGTTGATCGACGCAAGGCAGCGACTATGAGGGAAAGACGAAGGCTTAGGAAGGTGAGGCGAATTTAAATTGATGTCATATATATAGTCGGTGTTATGTACTGGCGAAATCTCAATACAACGGATTTCCAGGGACACTTAGCTGCACAGCCGTCTTTTTTTGGATACGTCGAAACAGCATAAAGAAAAAGCTTCCCAGCGGATTCCAGCCACGAGTTTGTGACATTAAAAGCATTTGAGTTTCCCACTCAAATTTTCTCTACCTGATGTTAGTGTTATTCAAGTTGAATTTTCAATCGAGCGACTTGTTTCATAATTTATACTTTTTGTGAGCAGGAAACATTGATTCATTCCTAGAAATGCATGTCCTCAAAAATAGGAAGATGGAGAAAAAAAAGATGAAATTTTGGTAGTCGTGAGGGAAGTACAGTAGCTTTGAGACCACGTGTGCATCAATTTGCTGTCGACTTCTTGAAAGCGTGTTATAATGCATTTATAAGGAATTGTGTAAATATAGTGTTGTGTTCCTGCTGGAACTAATGAAAAAAATTCGCTATAATTCTGAATGACGGACTTACGCACATATTTCAGATATCATGTTAGCAATTCGTTGATTTCTGTGCTAATTTCATACTTTTTCAGAGATGGTAATGTTATTCCCGAATGCCACATTTAATGATTCTTATACAGTATTCCCTTCGCTGCGAAGTTTGGCAAAAGAAACAAGACGCCTTTCGTATGCTGTAAATCACGCAGTGTCTAATACTATGTTTGAAAACTATGTTAATTATTTTTTGCGAGGGTCGTATTGCCTGAAAGAATAAAGAGAGCAAAAAACAGATTTTTATAATTTTAAATAAAATACAGTGTACTTTATTAACACTTCATTGAAGTACACCTGAAATGCTGACAACAGATAAAGAAAGACGAGGATCGAAGAAAGTCAACTGTGTCTTTGACCTCACTGTTGCACAATTAACAACGCAAAAAATATGAGGCGCACATTTTCTGCTCGAATTTTATTTTATTTATTTTTATTTACGAAACTTTTACCTGCGCAAAAGTTAGCCTATTTATTGCGTGAAAGCCCCTGCCGGTCGTTACACGTGGATCCAACAGGAGTTACCAGTGACCTAAAACAGTTTGATGCCTTATTTCTTCAATTTTTGCNTGACGGCGGCCTGAAGGCGGATCCCGAGAATGGTGGCGGCCGTGAGCCGCACGAAAGGCGGTGCTTGATTTGGGCATGCAAGGCGTGCAAGCGGAAAACGGTGACAGTTGATCGACGCAAGGCAGCGACTATGAGGGAAAGACGAAGGCTCAGGAAGGTGAGGCGAATTTAAATTGATGTCGTATATATAGTCGGTGTTATGTACTGGCGAAATCTCAATACAACAGATTTCCAGGGACCCTTAGCTGCAAAGCCGTTGTCAGGCAGAATTTAGCCGAGTTAAAATTACTGGCTTCTGAAAGGCGCCGCGCTGAATTAGTGCTAACCTCCCCCAACAAACACAAAAAAATTACGATTTTGGTAGGCCTGTGAACCAAACCTAAGTTCAGTTCCCAGGCTCCCCAAGGACATGTAAAGGATGTTTCTTGAAGATGGTCAGATTTGACCTCCAAATCCAATCGAAAGAATAAATTAACCTCTTCTCTGAGTTTTTCTCTTAACCACAACTCAGCATTGTGGCAGTTATTTGAGCTGAGAAGCAAGGGGTTTGCGTGATTTTCTTGTGTTGTTGAAATTTTCCAAAATTTCGAATTTGAAAGCATCTTCTGTTTTTCCTGAAATTCTGTTCAAAAGCAATATACCATATTTACTTGAGTACCTTTAATGCACCCTCAAGTACAGTGCACACAGGGGGTTTTACAGTTGGAAATTTTGCTAAAATTTTATTCCCAAGTAAGACATGCACCCCAATTTTTAGTGAATCTAAAACCACAAAGTTTTGCAAATAAAATAATTTGACTTTATAGGCATGAATTAAAGAAAAAACTGATCAATTTTCAACTTTTTCAGTATAAAAACGTTTTCTTCTTACATTTGTTCCAAATTTCTCCATTATGATCAAGTGTTATGCACACAAAACTTCCTAAAAATTCTTTAAAACTTCGTACCCACTTATGATGCGCACCCCTTTTTTACTACTGAAATTTGGGAAAAAAGGTGCGAGTAGGTACTCGAGTAAATACATTAACAACATTAGACTAGGACAAGAGTCCCAGCCGCAGCCTTGCTGATCAAGTTGTCTTCTCATTTCTCAATCTCTGCATTAACTTATTCCTGAATCTGTTTAGCAAAATTTGCTCCTTAGCAGTTCCTCTTGAATTTATAGTTATCTCCAGATTTTTTGAGCTACTTCTAAATTTCCTCACAGCCGTCTTTCCTTTTTCTTGGACACATTGAAACAGTATAAAGAACAAGTTTCTCAGCGGATTCCAACAACGAGTTTGTCACATTAAAAGCATTTGAGTTTCCCACCCAAATCTTTTCTACGTGATGTTATTGTTATTCAAGTTAAATTCTCCATTGAGTGACTTGTTTCATAATTCATTGTTTTTGTGAGCAGTAAACATTGATTCATTTGTAGAAAGTCATGTCCTCAAAATTATAGGAAGGAAGATAGAGAAAAAAATGATAAAATTTTGGTAAGCGTGAGGAAAGTACAGTAGCGTTGTGACCACGTGTGCATCAATTTGCTGTCGACTTCTTGAAAGCTTGTTATAATGCATTTATAAGGAATTGTGTATATATAGTGTTGTGTTCCTGCTGGAACTAATGAAAAAAATTCGCTATAATTCTGAATGACGGACTTACGCACATATTTCAGATATCATGTTAGCAATTCGTTGATTTCTGTGCTAATTTCATACTTTTTCAGAGATGGTAATGTTATTCCCGAATGCCACATTTAATGATTCTTATACAGTATTCCCTTCGCTGCGAAGTTTGGCAAAAGAAACAAGGCGCCTTTCGTATGCTGTAAATCACGCTGTGTCTAATACTATGTTTGAAAACTATGTTAACTATTTTATGCGAGGGTCGTATTGCCTGAAAGAATAAAGAGAGCCAAAAAAATGATTCTTGTAATTTCAAATAAAACACAGTGTACTTTATTAACACTTGAATGAAGTACACCTGAACTGCTGACAACAGATAAAGAAAGACGAGGATCGAAGAAAGTCAACTGTGTCTTTGACCTCACTGTTGCACAATTAACAACGCAAAAAATATGACGCGCACATTTTCTGCTCGAATTTTATTTTATTTATTTTTATTTACAAAACTTTTACCTGCGCAAAAGTTAGCCTATTTATTGCGTGAAAGCCCCTGCCGGTCGTTACACGTGGATCCAACAGGAGTTACCAGTGACCTAAAACAGTTTGATGCCTTATTTCTTCAATTTTTGCGGAATCCAGCTATCCACCGTGTAAAACTTGGAATGTCACACTCAACACTTCGAAATTATTTTCCTGAATTCGTCTTGCGCTTGGAATTCTCTTCTGATTCTCTCGAAGTAAACTATTTTTATTTTACTACAAGCTGGAGGTGCCCGCATGAAATTTTTCAAAGGTTTTTAAAAATGTCGTTTTGATTAGAGCTGATTACATGTGTATCATCTTCTGATAATCCGTCTGGCTTTCAAGTCCCAGTAAAAATTGGGCTTGGGACTTTCGGCTGAGCCCAACCTCATCACTTCAATGGACTTTGTCCCACAAATTTTCATGCAATGTTCTCATTTTGAGCATTGAAATTATTGCAAAACCCTTTGAAAAGGAGCGTTTTATGATTTGAACGCACGTATACCATTTGTATATGCTAACGGGAAAAATGAGCATGAGATTTCTTCTTGAAAATTTAACTTGATATAAACATCTGTTCAGAAGTTCCCTTGACCTTCATCTCATTGGATCATTTTTTCGCTGTTTTAAAGCATTGGCCCCATTTTAAAAATTCGTCGATAATCTTCATTGTATTCAAAATTATGGGCCAGAAAAGTTCATTTTCTTAAATCTCAAGATTCTTAAGAAACGGAGCTTTGGACTTTTCATGCAATCATCCCCACCGGAAAGGCGCAGTTTAAAATAATGGTTTTCAAAATTACATATACATTTCCAGGGGAAAGCTCTTTAGGAACTGACTTTCACGCAGAAAATGAAGCAACTCAAATATTTTCACGGAAACTTTCCATAAAAAAAAGCATCACAGAAACTACTTATTCTTTGGTTTAAAAAAATAAAATAAAAATACTTGACGTTTTCAGAGACGTACGACTGCTTAAAAATGGTGCTCAGTTAAAACTGAAAAACTTGTTTGAAAAATATAAAAAAGGTCGAGGGAACAGCAGTGCGAACTAATTTAACATGGCGTCGACTTGATCCCGAGGTCAGTTGGGTGGCGGCGAGTTGAACCGACACGTTTGCTCTTCGCAGTTTTGAAGTCCTCATGCAACACGCTATTTTCCTCAGCAAACATTTAATTTTCTCTCCTTATCCGAATGAAAAAAACAAAACAAAGGTGAACGAAGCTTTCGAGGTCCTGAAGCGTCGTACGTGCAACAACCCGACGCAGAGAATGCCGAAAGTGGAGATCTTGCGAGGAGCCATAGAGTACATAGAATCCCTGGAGTCCTTGCTTCAGCAGGGATCTGCGGGTACTGGTCCCAATCGTCGCCCGATGCCCCAGGGCATGATCAGTTCCAGACTAGGAGATTTCAGCCCGGCGTCTGGGAAAAGGCTGATGCAAAGCAGTTATTTCAGCAACACGAACGGAGTCAATGCATTATTCAGCAACTCTATGCGCAGCTGCGAATCACCGTCAAACAGTTACCTGGGCACTGCCGATGGTTACCCATCCAACCTGATGACTGCTTCGGGTTGTGATTATTCAGTGAGTGGTTTTTTTAAACCCTTTGTTTCAGTATTTATATTGCGCTCATTTTATCGTAACACAGAGTTGATTGGCGCTGATTTGGGTCGCGCGGAATCCGGTCGTCCATAAGAATGATGGCGTTGACTTTTATTTTTTTAACCCTCTTATTTTGAATCCATCAGCAGATAAAATCTTTCGGGCAGCACCATTGCCGAAAATAGGCAGTTGATTTGGATGAAAGTATTTTATACGATTAAAGTTGCACAGAATCTCGAATTACAGCTTTTACTTGCGTACGAGTCATCTATAGATTGGTTTTGAGGGCTAATTATATTTGTTAAGAAATCTATAGACCAGGAGCTTTTCAAATTTTTGCGAAGACGTTGTTTTTGGCGGACAAAGTCACTGTTCGCAGCGAGAATATCATATATAGAACTTGAAAAAATTTTCTGTCGAACATGAAATTTTTGGAACCCGACGCATGAGCCCTGGGTTGAAAATCCTGTGAGTGAGCTAATGAAAATCACAATTATGAAAGTGTTCTAATGAGTGCAGCCTAATGATACCAATTTTCGGTTTACATTACTCGAAAAATCTTGATTTAGACCACACCGGATTTTTAAAGGAAATTTCTGAGTAACAAAAGAAGCGGCATTTATGCGAGTGAGTAGAGCATTTATTTTTACCCAGCACTAACTAACGCCAAAGAACGAATAAAATACGATAAAAAATGTAATCATAAAAAATCACAGACTCAATCTATATGCAAACATCGTATCGTCGTGTACTTCAAAATTTTTCTGCATTCATAAATCCCAAATGAATTTTTTAAAATTCAAAGCTTGAATTCGATGTCACACGAACCAGGGAGAGATATAAAAAATTATCCTAACGAGCTGAAGCTTCACGTTGAACGCAATAAAGCATTCAATTGTGAAATTTCCTATTCGCAATTGTGTCCTGATCTTCGTGAATATTGACAAGGTCTGACTGGTATTGTCAACATCAACATCAAGGTAGTCCACTTAGACCGAGAATTTGCGAAGTAAGATTCTGAAAACATGTGCGGTTAATTGAAGTAGCGTTGCTCGTCAAGGCAATTAAATTGTGAATTTCATATACTGTATATACAGTACTTATGTATAAATGATAACGAAGTATAGATTCAGATCAGCTATCGTATAATGAAAAACAATCCAGTCCAAGATGTTCGAAAATCGTATAACCGTACTAGGGTATTTTTTCAATATTTTCTCCTGCATTTGCAAAGATTTCGATTCAACAAAAAATCGTTTACAAGAAAGACTACATGATCTGAAATACAGATCATCGTTGAATGCAGGAACCCGCGCGGGACTCTTGAATCATAAATAAAAAAAGACCTCAATTGAAATGAATCATCCTAAATTATTGTATAGTACTGTAAAAAAAAATAGCCAGTCTCTAAAGAATAAATGCCTCAACTGAAAAACAGTCGTAGAATTGGTAGGGTTACATTTTTTGGCTCCAGGCCAAACTTGCCTCATTCAAAGAAATTTTCATTGGCGTTGAGAAGACTATGGTGAAAGACATCGAGAAGCACAGGAAACACACCCCTTCAAGTTACGAGAACCCCGGTTAGTTGGACTTTGGCCAGACAACTATATATCTTCAGTGCCTCGAATCTTCCTTTGAATGGAAGAACCTCAATAAACGGCTCTGACTCTTGATACACATGTGCAAATGAATCACCCACAATTCCTGATTAATGTTGGAAAGACATTATTTTTGTCTCGGCGCTGGTAATATTGTGATTAATTACGACAAAAAACATGCTGCTGGTCTCATGGTGATTACCTTTGTTTCGATCGAAATTAGCAAGACTATTAGGATCGAACGACTGTCGCGAGAAACGGAACCCACATGGGTGAGATGAGGGCCAGGAATAGATGGATGGATACCTTATTAGGTGTAACATGTATCGGTCATTAATTAACCACGGTACCTTTTTTTCGGAAATGAGGATAAAATCTTCATTCGATATACTGCACCTTGGAATAGCCGGAAGTCCTGTTTTATGCCCGGAAGAAATTTTGCTGGACTCCAGCAAAATTACAGGCCGAATGTCCAAATTCCGTCCACAACATTGTAAACATTACAGATACTGTACCGTATTGGATACATGATGAATGACAAGTTTTCTGCAATCTACGGTATTTTCGAAATCAGTTCTCTGGAGTCAAGAAGCTGCAGCAATGTCATGTATGTGCCAGAAACTTTTTGGCAGGCTTCTATGGTGTGATTTAAAAATCTAGATTTGAAAAACATCAGAGTTTTGTGGAAAAATTTAATTCAGTTGAAATCATCCAATTTTAAAGTGAAATGGTACACGCTGAATACAATACCAAAATAATATGATGCCAAAATGCGCCAAGAGTTGAAAAGCAAACTCTTGCAATATTCATTTGATGGTCTTGGCCTTTTTCTGCAGCATTGCAAACTTTCACACACAATGAAAAAATAATGCATTTGTGGTTTTAGGACTGTTCAGTATTTGTTAGGAATGACTTAGTAAAATTTAAATAGAATATGTTTTAGAAATAAATGTCACAAAGAAATTAGTTGGGCTATGACTGCGGTGAAATTTCACCCTATTTGAAGTTTGTTTTTAATTTGAGAACACCGTCAACACACACATTATTCACAAAAATACTGGAGTGTCTTATATGAGAGCTCAGAGAAGAGTGAGCTTTTGAGATGAAGTAGGGAGACAGGAAAACTGTTCTTCAAGGACAAATGATGGTTTCAGGATTTGGCAATAAAAAAGAGCCTTGGAGGCTTTCAGGAAAAATGGGTGCGTGAACCAAGGTTTTTCCTGGATCACACCGAGATGTACAAGGACAAGTTTTTCTGATAATTTGGATTCTTCAGTTCTTTATTCAGGGTAACAAATCATACTCTAGCATTTATTTTTGTGAAAGTATTTGCAAGCATCATGTCTTTATAAATTTTGACTTTTACAGTGGAACCTTCAAAGTAACCAAGTCAAAAACTTTCATAATTTGAATCTCCATAATATTTTTGGTAAACTCTGTTGAAACTGATGCATTTTAAACTTCACAAAATCATACTTTTTGGGTCTATACTTTTCTTCAGCTAAACTTTGCGCTTTTAAAATGGGGCTAAATTCTAGAACTTATCCCCATAAGCAGAAAACCAAAAATATAAATGAAAACTTCTTTTCACAAAGAATCAGTGAACTTCCTCCAGATAGGACATCTATATGAATGTTGAAATACTCATTTGGCCATTAAATCATTTTCCTTGAATAATCTGACCAACAACTTAGAATATGTCCTTGAGTCAATTTTTCCCTCAGTCTTTCAAATTCAACCTACAGGTTGGAGTGTGCATAATTTGTTAGGAATGATTTAGTAACGTTTAAATATAATATGTTTTTTAGAAATAAATGTCACAAAGAATTTGGTCAGGCTACAACCGGGGTGAAATTTCACCCCATTTTAAGGTTGTTGTAATTCAGAAACACAGTCAACACACACAATATTTGAAAAAATGCTCAAGTATCCCAGTTGAGAGCTCAGAGAAGAGTAAAGTTTTTAGATAGAGTAGGAATCAGGAAGACTGTCCTTCAAGGACAAACAACAGTATTAGGATTTAGCTAAAAAAAAGAGCCTTGGAGGCTTTTGGGAAAAAATGAGTGTATGCACCAGGGTTTTCCCCCCTTCGCACAGAGATGAGTAAATACAAGGTTTTCTGAGGAATTGGATTCTCGAATTTTAGCCTGACAAACTGTATTCCATAGTTTAATTTTGCAACGTAATTGTTCCCCAAATAACCTTTCATGATAATCAACCCGAGCATTCGAAAAGAATAAAAAAAAAA